CCGTCCTTCAGGAGCTCCCGTTGGATCCTATAGTACTCCTCGTCCTTGGGGCGCTCGCGGTACCACTGCTCCCGCTCCTCCTCGGGCCAATCGCTTTCAGTCGCCTGCTCCCAGAGGCTGTCGTACATTTATGTCGCGGAGGGGTTTTCTGCAAAATGATCTGTCAAGCCGTTTACTTGACTGCATTTTGGCTGAGCAATCGCGAAAAATGATTTGTCATTGAATTTGACTGTCAAATCATTTTTTATTTGGGGACCAACTTGGTCCCCAGCTCTCAAACCTTTTTGTCACGACGTGTCGCGAAGAATCAGCTTGAGGCCTCGCTTGCCCAGGTAGCGCTCTGCCGGGGCGTAGCGCAGCTGTGGGATCCGCCGGTTGACCGCCTCCGTCATGCGGCTCAGCTCGTCCGCGTAGGTCTCGCCCTCCTGCTGCAGCCTGCGATTCGACAACCACTGGTTGAAGGCCTGCGCCTCCACGAGCTGCTGGTGCCTCCTCCGCAGCAGGGGGTTGAGGTTATAGCTCGGGTACATCTTGCTCTCTTCGCTTCGGGGCTGGCTCCGAGGGCGTCGATGTTAATGATCTTGGGAACTATAAGGGGTAGTACTTGTTCCTAAGCCCCTACTACACCCTTGCAAAGCCCTATAAGACTTTACCAAACCTAGAAAACTCTGACAGCCCTGCAACACCCCCGATAAACAACCTTTGTAAAACACCCATATGGGTAGTCTTGTCAATTAGGTCCCCCCAAATACTACGCACCCTTGTAAAAAGGACCCTCAAAGGGACTCTAATCTAGAGAACTACCCATCTAGAAGCACTTCTAGCGCCCTTAGTACCCTTATCGGAACCCTATAAGAACTCGTATAGATCCCTTTAAGGAACCCTAAACCCTAGACCCCTAACCCTAACCCCTAAACCCTGGACCCTAGACCCTAAACCCTATAGGCCCTAAACCCTAGACCCTAAAACGTAAACCCTAAACCCTAAACCATAGACCCTAAACCCTAGACCCTAAACCGTAAACCCTAAACCCTAAAACCCTAGACCCTAAACCCTAGACCCTAAATGCAGCACCGTGGTCCGACTCGAGGGCGCAGACGCCCTTCTCCGTCCGCCCTTTCCGGAAGCGCTCCGGGGACAGGTAGAAGACGGCAAAGAAGCAGAGGATGCCCAAGAGGCCGATGCCTAGGTCTTGGGTTTAGGGTTTATAGGGTTTAGGGTTTAGGGTTTAGGGCTTATACGGGCTTAGGGTAAGAAGGGATGTCTGCAACAAACGCACTGGTAAGCTGGAGGGCAGGTCCTGGAGCTCTGCCTCTAGCTTTGCTCCAAATCACCATAAACCCTAGAAGCCCTTAACCCCTAAACCCTAAACCCCAACACCCTAAACCCCAAACCCCTAAACCCCTAACCCATAAACCCCTCGAGCCCTAAACCCCTAAAACCCTACACCCCTACACCCTAAACCCTAAACCCTAAACCCCTAAAGCCTCTAGACTCTGAACCCTAAACCCCTACACCCCTAAACCCCTAAACCCTAAACCCTCTAAACCCTAAACCCAAAACCCCTACACCCAAAACCCTCAACCCTAAAGCCTCTACGCTCTAAAGCCTCTACACCGTAAAGCCCCTAGACTCTAAACCCTCAACCCCGACCCATCCGAGCTGCCGCTGTTGATGAAATAAACCAGGGGTAGGTCGCCCTGCGTTTCCCAAAAAAGCAAAAAAGGCGGCACCCTAAGACTGCAAGGGGCCCCTTAAAGGGTGCTATATATAGAGGGTGCTATAAAGGATCCCGTTGGAAGGTTTAGGGTTTAGGGTACCTGAGGGTTCTTCTCTAAAGGGCCCCCTAAGAGGCCTTATGGGTTTGGGGTACTAGAGATTTCTTCTAGGGTACTAGCGGGTTCTTCTGGTTTAGGGTTTAGGGTGCTAGCGGGTTCTTCTATAAAGGGTACCATGGGGTTCTCTGCAGAAGCAGAAAGCGCACCGACCTTCAGATGCCATGCATGTACTGTCCAAATAGCTTAAAGTAGATCCCATTGTATTGGGTTTAGGGTTTTAGGGTTTTAGGGTTTCGGGCTTTAGGGTTTTAGGGTTTAGGGTTTAGGGTTTTAGGGTTTGGGGCTTAGGGTTTTAGGGTTTAAGGTTTTAGGGTTTAGGGTCCTTCGGCTCTTCGACCTCAACGTGGGCACTAATTGTATACTGGGATCCCGAGGTTCAGGACTGGCCTTGTTGAGATCATTGGGCACTTGCTGCTTCAGCGCCTGGCTGATGATGGATGCAACCTTCGGTGTTCCGAGGGCGAGACTCGAACGATGAGACCCCCTACTATCTGGGGCCATCTGCCCCCCATTTAGGGTTTCGAGTTTGTAGGATTGAAAGCCCAAATACCTACTAGCAGGGGCCCTGTACCCCGACGAATAGGAAGAGGCTCCTGGTATAGGCCCAACCCTCATATCATTCATACCCCACCAAAGCCCCCCGGGGGCCGCCAAAGAAACCTCCCCGAAAGCCTTGCCAGGACAATCTAAGGGCCCTAGCACTAGGATAGGGCTTACTCACATGTACCGGCCTAATAAGGGGTTTTGGGGGGTAGTAGACGAGGATTCAGGGAGCATTGTTTATCATGTCATTTGTACGTAGGGTGGTAAGGAAGCCCTAGGGAACATCCCAAACACAGAGAGACCGTAAATTCAGGTCCTTCCTAGACCCCAAGGAACCTACCTTTTGAAGGGTTTATAGGGAAATAAGGAGCCCTAAAAAGGTAGGTTCTTTGGGGTCCAGGTTAGGACCCTGAGCCCCTCAACCCAAAAACGGCAGCTCAGAAGCTCCATTGGGCAAGGCTCCCATGGCAAAGAGGTTGAAGGCTTGCAACAACGACTTCATACTCGCGGGCGCGCCCTTGCGTTTGGCTAGGGTTTCGCCTAAACCCTAAACCCCCTACACCCTAAACCCTAACCCCTGAACCCCTACACCCCAAACCCCTAAACCCGTAAACCCTACACCCTAAACCCTGAACCCCTACACCCTCAACCCAAAAACCCCAAACCCCAACCCCTAAACCCTAGACCCAAAAAACCCTCAACCGTTTTGTATACAGGGTTTGAATGTTCAGTTCAGGATTCACTTTGGTTTTTTTGGGGGTTTTGAAGTTTTTTTTAGTATTAGGTACGGGTTCTTCGGGGGCTTGGGGGGTCTTTTTGTATTAGGTACGGACTCTGTAAGGGCTTCTTTTAGAGGCTTATGGGTTTAAGGGGCTTATGGTCTTTAGTATTAGGTACGGGTTCTTTAAGGGCTAATATAAGAAGCTTATGGGTTTTAGGGGCTTGGGGTTTGGTTCAGGGTTTAGGGTCAAGGGCCTGTCCACCGCGTGTAGGGTTAAAGGCTCAGGGTTTCTCAACCGGGTGTAGGGACGGTTTAGGGTTTAGGGTTTAGGGTTTAGTGTAGCGTTTAGAGTTTCGCGTTTTTTTAGGAGTTGGCGCAGAATTTGGGTTGGGTCTTGGGGCGCGACATGCTCGCGGCCTAGGGTTTGGGGTCTACCTGAAGAACCCAAAACCCACTTTTTTGTAGGTTCTTATTATAAACCCTAATATGGGATTTATAGGGACCCTACAAAAAGTAGGTTTTGGGTTCTTAGTAGACAGGGGCTCAACCGTCTCAGATGAACTTCGCATGAAAGAAAGGCCCGTGAGGAAGGCAACTCCTGGCATAAGCAAAACTTGCTTCAGGTCGGGCTTGTGGTTGAGGGGACAACTTTCTCAGCAGGAGGGTTAGGGTTTAGGGTTTAGAATCCCCGTCAAGTGTTCGAAACCCTAAACCACGAACTTTTCACCCTCAACTCTGAGCCCTAAGCCCTAGATGCAAAGTAGGAGCCGCCACTTCCTATCCCAATGTCCCAGACCGGGTAAGGAAGCTTTCCTTATGCAACTCCACCATTTCGCGCCCACCCGCCTCATAGGCAAGATGCTGCAGAACCGGATTCACCATGATCTCACCAATGCCCACCTCAAGCAGCGCCCAAGCCCCCCATGGCCCCGCGAAGACTAGATGCTCCCAAGCTTCCAAGCTCCAAAGCCTAGACCCATGACACAAATATTACCATATTAATTAGCTGTGATAACTGTGAGCAAAAGAAGCATAGCAATAATGAGCACGATGAGAAAAATTATTAGCAGTGATAATTGTGAGTCGAAGAAACATAGTAAGAATGAAAACGATGAGAATAAAAAGAGTACTAGCTGAGCCTTCGGCGTGGAACATGGGACTCGCCGAGAACTGGAGTCTGAGTGCCTACCCTACGGCTCCAAAGGAAACGATATGACCCGCTAGTCAGGAACTTGAGTTTAGGGTTTAGGGCATAGGGTATAGGGTTTAGGAGTTTAGGGTTTAGGGCTCAGGGTTTAATGCAGGCTAGTCTTTTGGGGAGTATATGATTAGTTGGTACTTGGACCTGCAGTTGGGTGTTGAAGGCATCGGGGCCTGTCGCACTAGGATGGCTCCCCATATCGCTCGTGACAACAAAAAAGGCACGTGCGAACAAAAAGTAATGTCAATGTGGCAGCCCAAAACAGTCACACACATTCATAAGGGTGATCGGATGTGGCTTATTGAATTGACTCGGTAGGGTGATGGGCTTGCTAAAATCTTCCCGCGCGCCGACTCGATCACAAACTTGTCTGGGGCTTAGACTTTGCGGTTTAGGGGTTGGAAAGTCTGCCAACTCTCTGCCGTTGCGCCATGGCATATGGGGCCACCATGTAGAAGGAGTTGATGTCACTCATGTGCACATGCTCGCCGTCCACCTCGGCAAGTATTGGAACAAATGATCACGCCCACACTACTGCTGCTTCGTAGTCGTAGCTGGCAAATTAATAATACCGATCATGGGGACTCTATGTGCCATGCTTTCACCACCAGCATGTGCCAGTGGAGTTGACGTGTCTACCTCAGCAACCATAGGAAACCACAAACTGAATTGCCCCCGACACACTTCCTCAGGGTCAAGGGTAGTTGTAAGCAGGGCCATGTGCCTCTTCAGCTACTGACTGCCTGTGGCCCGATGAATTTCTACCATGACGAACGCACGTCGGAACTAGTCTGCAGAACCGGTGCCCACTTTGGACCCTAGACCCTAAACCCTAAACCCTAAACCCTAAACCTCTCGAAACGCTGAACTCTAAAGCCTTTAACATGCACCCCGCCTTCGGGGCACAGTGTGAAGGCACCGGAAGCACGGCCGCGCCCTTGCAGGCAGTTCAGGGTTCACTTTAGGGCTTAGGGCTTAGGGTTTAGGGTTTAGGGTTTAGGGCTCAGGGTTCACTTTAGGGCTTATAATGAAGGTTTTATAGGGTTATAGAGCAGATGAAGGAGTTTAGTATAGGGTTATAGAGCAGATTAGGGAGTTTAGGGTTTATAATGAAGGCTTATAGGGTTATAGAGCAGTTTAGGGAGTTTAGGGTTTCTAGGCTCGCAAAGCTTGCCTTAGGACTGTTTGTCACTGGCATGGCTAGGAGCACTGCATTGTTAAGTGTTTAGGGTTTAGGGTTTAGGGTTTATTTAGGCTTCAGGGTTTAGGCCTTGCGGGCATACTCGATCGAAGCCGCCACGAGCTGCGCACCGATGGCAAAGCTGAATCCAGAGACGACCTGTGGGCCGTTTGGGGCTTTGTGAGCGCCAGAGGTCAGAGCCAGGGAGATGTCCGGTTTCACGACGCCCCCACAACAATATTGGTAATTATTAGGGCCCTATATATGGGTAGCTGTCAAGATTATGGTCCCTTTTGGGGTACCCTAAATAATAGGTGCCGTATTATAATAAGGAGTTTGTCAATCTGGTCCCATTTTGGGACCAGATTGACAAACACCCTGTCCCTAGTTCAGAGCCTTCATATTCGACTCATCCTTGCTCGTGAGGTTTAGAGCACGTGGTTGCTTCTATCGAAGATTCCAGGAAGTCTAAGGGTGTGCGTGTAGCCGACTCCGGATCACGACACCGAATCCTAGTATCGGGGCCGAGGGGCCTTAATACGGTTTAGGGTTTAGGGTTTAGGAGAATATCTTAGAATAGGGCTTGAGGAGGGGTTTGTGGGGGGGGGGGGGGTATATTAAACGTAGTATATAAGCACTGTGAGGGAGTGCTATCACTAATTGTTAGTTCCGACCCTTATATACTCTGCCTCCGACAAAACACCCACGACATGTAATATTGGTGCCTTAGTACTTAGAATAGGGTTTTGGGGCCCATTATATTTTAGCTCTAACTACAATATAAGGAGCCCCAAAAATAGTATAGGTAGTTGTTAACCCTAAGGCTCCATGTACCCATATAGTAGATACTTAAGCCCTAAAGTGCCTATATAGGGACCCCATTTGAGGCTTAAGTCACTACTATAAAGGTACATGGAGCCTTTGGGGTAGTTGTTAAGGCCCCTGCGTGTACATTCACAGATTCACACCAGGTGTGCTGCATTCACCAGAGCCCTGGGCGTGGGGGCTGGTCCGGATGGGGTGCCGCCGAAACGGGAGGATAGCAGTAATGCAGGGGCCTCAAATAATTACCGATACTATTTGTTGGGGGAGAGTTCCTTATATTATAAATATAGTATATTATACTCCCCCCCCCCAAAAAAAAGCCCGATGTATAATTATTAAGGTCCCTACAGTAAGTGGCAACTGCGAAGATGAACCCGTTTTTTTACCAAGAAAGCACACCGAAGACAGGGGTGTTGATATCGATATGTTGCTCGCTGACTAACTAGGCCCTCGTTCATGTCTTGCAGGATATCAAGCCACGCCTAATATAGGAGCCTTGATAATAATTAGAATTAGGGTTTTGGGCTCCTTTATATTATTACACTAAGGAACCTCCCAAAATAGTATAGGTAATTATTGAGGCCCCTACGCCTACAGATGAAGCACTGGCAGCTGTCGAGCTCCAACCTTGCATCCAATGCTGACCTCCTTGCCGATGACTTGCCTCTCTGCTCAACACAGAACTTCACGCACTCTTACCCAGACCCCCAAAGGATCTAAAAAATAGATCCCCTAATTTAGGGACCCTAACTACTAAGGGGTACTTTATAGGAACCCCTTAGGGGATCTATTCTTTAAATCCTTTTGGGGGTCTGGGTAAGGGTTCAGGGCTTAGGGTGACCAGGAGCTCAGGAAATATGAAGGAGAGAACTGCCTATAGTCTCCATTGTAGTTCCTTTTTGGGAATACCTTATAAAATCCTTAATATATAATTGGTTAAACCAAAAAAAGGAACTACAATGGAGACTGTAGGAGGTGGTCTCTTCGCAAAGAAGTTGCTTGATGAAAGGGTAGATGACCCGGTCCAGGAGTGGAGTTCCGATGACGATCGTCACTGGGTTCGCCAAGCGGAAGAAGTCGCCACTGTACTGAAAACCTGGGTCAAGGCTTGGAGGTTGCGGTTTAGGGTTTAGGGTT